GTATGCACACTATTAGAGTGTGTATAGTTTGAATTTTTTGTACGAAAGATTTGAATTGAAAATCATAATGATCGGCATGATCCTAGAAATATATATTGTATATTTTTCGTATATATACTGTTTATATTCTTTATTTTTTCTGTATATGTTGTGTTCTTTGCTTAGAAAATGATCCTAGGTATATATAGTGTATATTTTTCGTATATATACTGTTTATATTCTGTATATTTTTCTGTATATTTGCTGCTCGTGATGGGATGACATTGCTCCTGATTGTTTAGTTCATTTTTTTTTTTAAATTAATGAAATAATTACGAGATTCTTGGGATGGTAACTTTTTATTTTTTGTTTGGCAGTTATATTATAGTTATCCAAATAATTATATTAACTTAGGTATACTTGTAAATAAATTTTTATTTTGTATTTATGCAATTATTTTAAAATCCTTAACGTAGAAATGCAAATCACCCTTTTATATATTCATTGAAGTTTTAAGTAGATGATATTTGCCATGATGAGCCCTAACACTCGAGGCCTTCGGTGGCGAGTAATTAGTATAAATAAATGATATAATACATGAAACTACTTACATTTAAATTGAGACTTTTAATTAAAAAAAACATTTTGTTCGGGAAAATTCTAAAGATATTTAAACCTTATAATAATTGGTTGGGAAAGCCCAGCAGTATTTGCAAATTAACAATTTATTTTAGGTAAAAAAAAAAAAAAAAAAAAAAGAAAACAAAGATAATACACTCATGAAGGACATTATGAACATTTTTCTCTCTACCAGTCGTGTTAAAGTTTTTATAATCGAGGCATCAGGTTGCGGTCCCACACAGTGAAGCGCACCATAAGAGGGTAAGAGGGTGAGCCTAGTTGCACTTTAGTGAGGTTCCATACCCAAACTAAGAGTAGTCCACCATGCTTATAAACTATGCTCATTTACTCTATCAAATCACAAGTGATATTCCAATAAGTCGGCCCCACTCTACCCACCACCCATGCCCACTCATCCACACTCTCTTCTCAGTCCCTCTTTCTCACACACACACAAAACATACATAAACAACGGCCACCGTCGGGCACCAATCTTTGGGGTCGGCCGCTGACTTTTCCACAAGTCGCCACTGTCCGACACCAACCTCCTCTCTATCCCCTCTCTTCTCTCTCTCTCACACTCATACAAAAAAAATTACCGCATGCCCGGCCATCTCCTCCGTTATTTTTAAGTGAAAAATAACAATTTATTTTTCCAAAAATCAGAATTAATTTTTCAAAAATCAATTTAAGATTTATTTAACGGGCGCTACTCGAAAATTTACATGACAATAGTTTAAGTCCACACTTAAACTACGGGGTACATCCATCCCGAATATATATATAACTCATGTCAAACAATACACATGTTTCAACATTTATTCAATCATACAAAATACTCAAATCAAACCCAACATGATCAAGATGTCCAATAAAACCAAATCTCAAATATTATTCAAGTTTAATAAATACCAAGGATGATAAAAATCCCAGAAAACAATGGTTCAATTTCCACATGATAATAAGTCAAGTCTGACAGTGAGATAATAATAAATAAATAAAGCGAAAGTAGGTAAATAGCAGTTCAACAACATAATGACCCCGCCTCGCTCGTCTTTCGCCACGACCACCAGCTTAACCTGAAAAGATGGTTAATAGTGGGAGTGAGCAAACAACTAGCTCACCGTGGGAATACCATGCAGTATAATCAATATAAAGACTTAAAATCATAATCGCAGTATGTAAGCAAATCGACTAGTCTACCCTCCTTAAACACAGCCACGCTCATGTAATCACACCTAACCTATCAATCTCGAAAAAGATAGGAACAAGCCGCCACCCAAGGACGGGAGAAACCGCAGACGTACCGTACACAGACTAAGCTCTCTAAAGGCTAGATTTAAGCCTCATAGACTACCGGTTCACATGCATACCTAGATTATCAAGCCAAACATTTATAGAAATTAACATATCACTCACCTGATCAGTTTGGCATATTTACCACAATATCGGATGTAGGTTGGCTGAGGCTCGACTCCTCAAACACCTACAATTTATTCAAGATAATACTTAAAAAATACTTATCTCGAAAATCGAGAATTCAAAACGAGAATTTATACCTAGTCGACTAAGTAGCTCGTGGAATTTTGTGGAATTTGGAACTTTCGGATTTTAAAGAGTTATTTTAAAAGGCCAAAAACGGATTCTACTGTCAAATATCACATAGTCGAGGCAATATAT